GAATTCAGATTTTTAAAAAGTGGAAATAGGTGAAAGACCCAATTTATCCTAACAATGGGAATTGATCGGCAACTTAGTACTGAATTTAATTTGAGTGCTCATCGATTATGTTAATCTAAGAACTTACTGATCAGACTTTTGCTTACATAAACATCTATGTTTGGGGTGAATACACTCGGAGCAAACAGGAAATAGGGTCGTGACCACTCAGCACGAACAGTTGGTGGTGACAAAATCACTCGGGATCCTTGTTACAAAATGGGGGAACCAGCTTAAGTATAGCGAGTTGTATGCCCTTAGTTAAGTTACATCCGTTTGGAGTACCAAAGAAAAAGGCAAAATGACATTGCCGTAGAAGGTCATCAAAGCAATTGTAATAGGCGCTTCCGCCTAAAAACTCCCCAAAAATATATGGTCCCGCGGCGTTTATAGGTCAAAAATGCAGTTGTTTACAACTTATAGCGATCGGCAGTAAATGACACTCTGCAAAAAATATCAACCCCCACTCCTACAACCTCCCCTGATATTTCTATATTTTCTGTAATATTCTTACATTCCATCATTTATATTTCAAACATTAATATTTTTACTTTAAAATGAAAAAAATTATATACCTGAATTCAGCCAATCAGGTAACGCACACTATTCAGTACTCTTTACTACTTTCCATAACAAACAAAACCATGTGTACATCCGGGGATTTGGTACTCTCATTCCTATACGAGGCATCCGGCAGATTTAACTATCTGCGCACGCATTACGCACAGCACTACTTTGTTTACTATGCACTAACAGCTTTATGTAAACGTTTTATAATATGTTAAGTACTACTTGTACTAACGAACATTATTTTGATGCATTTACCTTGAGAAGCAAATGTTTATTCAGTTACATGGTGAATAAGCATACATTTTTACATGCGTATATATATAAGAATTTCATTCGAAAGTACACTTCCATTAAGGGTGAAGTTTATTTGTTCATTTGTGTTTCTAAGAGCAATAAAAAATTTCAAGTCTAATCGAAATAAGAAAGCGCAACTTTTCCTGTTCTATTTATAGCATTGTGGACTTTCAGTATATTATCGCTCATAAGAAATTTCAAATCTTACCGATTTCAGTTAAGATGCATTTTGAATTTTTTTGTTATGATGATTTAAGAAAAAGTGCTTGACACATCAGGTAGCGATAGCATAATATGAAATCACACTGCCTCTATTTACACTGACCTACGATGGCGCTATCTCTTCTTATCGGCTGCAGCAGCGGTCGATCTATTTGTGGTTGTGTTAGATGTGCACATGGGGGAATGAGGCCTTATTTTTTCATTTCTTCGATGAAATAATTCTGATAACAAACATAAAAGATATGAATTAAAGTTTTAAAAGTTCGCTTAATACAAAGTCTTAATGGTCGCCATTAGGTTTCAATCTGTATTTCATTTCTCATCAAATGTTCATTAATTTAAGATTTTATGAAAATCTGTTGCATGAACTGCTCCCCAAGATGGGCGTGCATAAGATATAAAATTAAAACGTATTAAACATCCGGATATGAATTTCAGTGCCTAGGATAGCTAATAAATAATTGTATCTTTTATAGCCCGCAATCCTGTTTTTATTTTCTTTACTTTATTAATTACTAGAAGTATTTTGTTTGATCACACAGAAGATAAACATATTTAAAAAGGCACAGGATAAGAGAGGCAATGGTCAGTATGCTTATGGAAAGCCGCATTATGAGTAAATACATAAATGTACTTTTTCGAATTTGTTTTTTTTTTTCTTTTCTTTTAATTCTTTTCTGTGATAATTCTTTAAAATGTAAAAATAATATTAATACTTCTGCTGCCGATTTGATGCTTTGCATCAATTTAACTTTTTAGATAGAGTCTCGATTGATTTTGCACACTGCTCATAATTCAATTGGCGTTTAGCGAAATATATTCATTCAGTAAATTATGCCCAAGGTCGTTTAAAATATTTTCGTAGACGGCGTCGTGGAATTTTGATCATAAAACCGGTTCTAAATTCAACGACATTAAAAAAAAAATCACACACAGATTAATGAATTGATATTGATACCTACGTCCTAATCAATTAAAAATTTACACTTTATCCATTTTTTTATTCTTTAGATTAACAAGTTAATACCTTTTACATTAAATGGACTGTTACAACGCGAAATGTAATAACAACGCAAAATGTAATAAACCGAGATTATTGCATTTTGCGTTATTACATTTTGCGTCGATATCTACGCAATATGCCATCACGCAAAATGTAGTAAAGCATTTTTTGGATTATTATATCTTGAGTTGTTACATTTTGCGTCGAGATTAAGCAAAATGCAACAACGTAAAATGTAATGACACACTTTTTGGTCAGGTTGAGAATAATTTTCAATTGAGTAGTGGATGAAGAAAATAAGGGAAAGAAAATAAAACAAAAAGAAAAATAAATATATGCTGATTCTTACATTAGATCTAATTTCATCATATATTGATTTCACTAGCCATTTAAAATCAGTTGATATTCAAATCATAGGTGTTGGAAATTTGAAACGTGCGTGCATAAGTGTGTGTGTGTGGGGGGGGGGGGTATCGTTGATCAGTGTATCAATTTGGCTTTTGCTTTTTGATAGGTACATGCAAGAAATTTAGAAAAGAAATCTATTTATTTTTACTGGCAGGTGTAAATATAGCGGGGAGTGGGTTTCTTGATAATTAAGATTTCATACTGTTTTACAAATCATGTGCATTGCAGACCTGCAAAAATAAAATATTTCCTCTCTCTCTCTCTCTCTCTCTCTCTCTCTCTCTCTCTCTCTCTCAAATAATAAAATGGATAGTTTCTGCATGCGCATAAAAATACAATGATCAACATACAAAGTAACCCCCACCCCCGCTTCTCCTCGCCACATACACACACACACACACACACTTCTAATTTGCAAACCAATCTACACGTGCACGTCGTACATGCGTATCAAGAGCTTTTAATGGACCCATGGTCAATCTTTGGTAAGAATGTCAGTGATGGATATATATTACAGATCAGGGAATCAGCATCAGGGGGGGGGGGGGGGGGCAGCCAGAGAAAAAAACAAACTTCAATTTACCTGGAAAAAAAATTGACAAGCAAAAAAAAAAAAAAAAAAAAATTGAAAATTGTCCGAACTCGAAAATCCTATTTCGGAAGGGGGGGGGGGGTCTAGGTTCCAACTTCTTTCAGTACCAAATTTTATTCATACACTACTACAATACCCTTATTTGACTATCTACAACAAAAAGTGGGGGGGGGGGGGGGCAACCAGCCTTTCAATTAACATTTCAAATAGTAGAATAAGTCTTTTGAAAAAAATGGAGGGGGGCAGGCCCCCCTGTCCCCCCCACCCCACCCCCTGTTGCTACGTGCCTGCAGATTGATTTATAAATAGACATGTCAATCAAAGTTAAGTTTATGTTTTAGTAGTATTCAATAAAAATGTTAGAAACAGAGTTAAAAAAATTATACAATTAGATTTAGTATTGTCTGTAAAAGCCGTAACGTTTGTCTCATAGTCATAGGTGTGTCTGTCTATTTAGTAAAGCGAGTTTCCCCATTGCTATATGTTTAAATCAATTTTGTGATAATTCGCGTTGAACACAATACAAAAATAGTGTTTTTTTTTATTTTTGTTTTGTTACAATTTGTTTTATTTACATTTTGCGTTGTCCTCAACGCAAAAATTAAGTAACGCAAAATGTAACAACCAAAAACTGCATTATTACATTTTGCGTTAATACCAACGCAAAGTGTAATAACGCAAAATGTAATAATCCCAGTTTATTACATTTTGTATTGTTATTACGTTTCGCGTTGTAACAATGGACAATTTCAAACAAAGGAATAACGAAAGGATGGTGTACCACGACCCAACTTTTTCAAGAATTCTTTTTAAACACAATAATTTATCAAAAATACATGCGATTGGATTCCTTGTCTTTCATACATGTACCTATCTTTCGATTTTTGATAACATTTTCTGGTTTGTTTTTTTTTTCTTTTTTTTTTTTCATTTAAGTTTCAGAGATTGTTCCAGGCCCATAAATTATATTGTTAAGATTACAAAAAAGCATCGAAAAGAACATACATTGTAGTTGCAATGATATGCCGCCATAAATTTTTGGAAAATTTAACACATTACAAAAGACGTAGGAGAGCCCTGTAGATCATTATTTTTGAAATTGATCTTCAATATCTTTTATAATTAAGGAGGGCTTCTTCTCATATTTCTTATTTTTAAAAATTAATGAAATTTTCATAGATTCAAGAAGACATTATCATTTGTAATGGTATCAATTAGAGTTAATTTGACCGGTTTTTTTTTTCAAAAGCAAGGTCAGGTCAAGGTCATTATCTTTTTCCTTCACCTTAAGAATAAGAAATACCATTGCCAATCATGCGATGCCTACTTCTATTTCAAAAGATTAAATGTTTTCCTTTTTGCATAAAAAGATATTGCCCTATAGGGTCTATCAGATGATACTACCAAATTGACATATATAATTTTAATAAAATACATATTGGCTAAACCGAATTCCCTCTATTTTTTCTTAGATTTTTAGGGTATATTAGTTATTTTTATATGTTTCGAATATTTAAATTTTTCTGATTTTCACATTTGGTAAAGTAGCCGTATAAAGATACAAAATGATACAAAAACAAAAAGTTTTGACCGTTTACTGAGAGAGAAAAAACACTTTTAACGGATTTTTTGTTCAAATCTGTACTTAGATCGGATGCTTTAAAAGTTAACAAAATTGTAGTTTGTTTGGAAAATCATATTTATTTGATATATTTTAAACCTTCAGTCCATTATTATTAATTTTACTTACATTTCAAATTTTCTTTTAGTCTTTGATTGTTTAAAAATTTTAACGAAATTCATTAAAATAAAAAAAAAAAATCAACCAGATTCAAAATAAAACAAAAAAAAATGTTTGTAAATCTTCTGGCAAAAATTTATTAATTATAGTCACCTGTTACAGCTAAATAGTTTTTTGACATCTGTTCGAAATCTCTTGTTTAGAAAACTATAAATCAGAGGATTGATTGCATTATTAACGAAATAAGACTTCAGAAAGAACTTGTATACGACTTCTGCATCATCAGAAATAGTATCTTCTAAATCCTTCTTCACATTGCGAATGATCATAATAACGAGAAACGGGAGATAACTCAAAATAAATGCAACCGTCACAGCAACAAAGATGGTGGTCGTCCTTGTGACTCTCAAACTGTTCACTTGTCGTTTGCGATTTTTGGGCGTGGCATCTAACATGGGATGAGCTTGACTAGGGGAAGATCCACTCGTGTTCTCGTCATGTATAAACTGGACATGCATGGAGTAAGTCGATACAGCTTCGCTAGCTCTGTTTTTTCGTAAGGAAATTCCTTTTCGGATAAAAATTGAGATTCTGACATAAACAAAAATCACAAATATGACAGAGACGACAAAACATAACATTATTGTACTGTAGTAGAGCAGGGGGTAAATGGTGTCCCTCATTTCGTCCGCGGTGGAGCAGTCCTCCCCCTTTATGTCGGGAAGTCCGACATCCACGGTTTTCCTCCCGAACACGACAGCGGCGGGCCATCCTATGACCGCGCCCATCACTATTGCACCTACACATAATTTCTTTACGGTAGAGTTATTGAAGTGCTGTCCCAGTCTACAGATACGTTTAAATCTGTCTATGGATATTGCCACTAGAGTCAAAGCTGACCCCATTGCGGACAGAGATTCTATGGTGCGTAAGAGTTTACATGCTGCGGGGGCATAGAACATGTATGGATAACGTAAATCCGCTATTTCCACTGGAATTCCAATAATACATGTTAAAAGATCCAAGAAAGCTAGAGTGAGAATAAAATAATCCGGAGACAGTTTTGTTTTCTTTTTCAGATAAACAATACACACAAGAATATTGCCAATTATCCCACAGATCATTAAAACAAACAGAAAAATTATCACTGGTAAATAACGCAAAGCTGCTTTGTCATTTAATTCCTTTAAAAGTAAATATGGATCCAGATGGGAAGAATTTTTCAATATTATTGAAAAATTAAGAGTTGAAGCGTTCATTTCCATTTTCCTTATCTACTGGAATATATTTTCGAACAACGTGATGCGTGACTGGTCATGTTGCCAAAGTCAATGAGCGAAGGCCAGGGACGACAAAATCCCTTGATGAAGTACGGCAAACCACATACTCCATAGTTTTAAAATGACACACCTAAAACTGTATAAAGCCTCATCTATGGTTTATCTTGAGATCTTTCAAGAGGGCAACTTGAGAATCACGGAATACTTTTTTGTACACAGAACGAGGAAGTTACATAATAAATTTATTCCTTATGGCGAAGATTGAAGAGTTTTTAACACAGTGGACTCTTTATCCTCCTGCTGTCAAAGTTTTGTCACTGTAGGAAATACCCTTCTGCTTTCTGAACATTTAAAGTTCCCCTAATAGATAACACAAATGCACTCTCATGTACCAAGGTTTTTTTTTTCTTTTCGGTGGCTTCGTTTTAAGGTGTCCTTCCAGTCTGCGCTTTAAATCTCTTTTCTTTAGTTTTAGGTACAAAAGAGTGTCTAATCGGGTAGAGATGTTTATAAAGCACTCTCCAAGGGGATTATATATCAAAGTAGGTCGACAATTCAAATACCCGGACAGTTTTGTGTATTGAATATTCGGTTTTGAAGCTCCACATGTAAAAACACGACTGTGTAATGATATAACCGATTGAGATAACAGAGTACGAAGTATTGGCTCTATACCACTATATATACCTGAATCATCCGAATAACAATGATACTTATAGATATACACCGTTGATAAAATAAAATGTCAGGGACCTGCGCTTACATTGACATCTCTATGTTTTGTCATGATTAAAGTTCACGTGTCACTAATCTGTCAATTTCGACCATATTTTTATACAATTTATACTAATATGACCCATTATGTATTCGTTCGTAATCTCCCCCTGCTGTGAATATCACGAGTCACTGAATTTTAAATGACCACTTTCGGATGAACAATGGCTTTTGAAACAAATATGTACGATTGGGTTCAGTTTCAATCGGGTGAAATCCACGTGGATTAAATTGAAATGCTGAGTTTAAACAATCAGAAAAGATTGTGAATGTTTCAAAAAAAAAAAAATGAACAAGACTGGATTGACTTTGTAACGCCATTTCATTATAGAATACAGGCCCGTAGAACGCAGAGGGGGGGGGGGGGGGGGGGTTCCCCTTTTTTTTCTGAGCATAGTCTTTGCTGTAGTTTTAATTTGTAAATTTCAATTTTAATGCTCCCCCGTCCCATTCCCCAATTTTTGTTGCTGCAAGGATGAGAACTGGCAAATTCCAGGATTTGAAAAAAGTACCAAAAAAAAAAAATGGTCCAACCCCCCACCCCCCGCGCGAGAAATAAGATTTTTTCGACTTTGGACTTTTTTTTTTCTTTTCTTCTTTTTTTGTATTTAATATATACTTAATCAATGATTGAAAGAAAAAATACAATATTATTATGTATGAAAGTGAAATGGTCTTTGTGCATTTAATTTTGTGTTTTCCCCATGTAAACAGTGACTCGTGTATTGAAGTATCTAAAGCATATATAAAGCACACAGTTTGTAAGTGTTTTAAGTGGGTCAAGTGTGTGTGTAAAAAATATGAAGTAATGACTCAAACAAAATGAATTTTAACTTAAAAATACGCACAAAAGTTCTAAATACCCTTGTTTTCATAATTATACGTAAAAACTGAATTAAAGGGACATCTCATTTAATTAAAAACATTAAAAAAAAATCAAAATGAAACTGAATTAATTTTAATTATTATTTCTAGACGTACATGAATAAATCAATATCTTGACAGATATCAAAAGAATTTTAACAACAAGGAAGACACATGATATCCAGGAAGAAATGATGAGAAAACTATATTGGGAAGTTGATTTTTTGTAGTTTTCGGTGATTCTATTTGAAAAAATCGATTAATTATCGCATGTAAATGCAAAACAGTAAAAAAGAAATCCTTCCATGAGAGTTTGTACATGTGTAATATGTTCAGTAGCAAAATAATGCGTAAAAAATACCTGCTAAATTATGATATATGTAAAATCAATTGGAGACAACTTGGTCTTGATACAACTTACAAAACATATTGTACGTGTAATTCAGGAAGCATGTACATGTAGCAATTTATTTTGCAACCAGAACTCAGATATACATGTACTTGTTATCTTTGTTTATTTTGAACTACTGCATGGGTAGTTCAGTGTTGTTCATTCCTGTACTATTTCCGTCCCAGGAAGATTTCCTCCTTAATTTCTTACGAAAACCGATTGCTGTTAATTTACACACTGAATTGTCGACGGATTTTTCCGTTATTTCCCGATCATGACAAGGAGCACACGGCGGGTGTGACCGGTCGGCAGGGGATGCTCACTCCTCCATGGCACCTGATCCCACCTCTGATGTTTGGAGGTCCGTGTTTGCTCTGCTCCTATTTTGTATTGATTAATGGACTTTTGAGCTTGAATACTGTTCGTTATCTCCATATATTTCAATCTGATAAACACAATTTACTTCCAAACTTCTCAAAACATGCTAAAGTCGTTTGAATGATAGAATAGTTTACGAAATGACAAATGGCCCTTCCATTAAATTGAATGAACATGTAAAATGTGCGCATCATTAACATTATATAGTGTTTTATGCATGTACTTCGCCCATTGAAGAGCCCTCTATACACTGCACACTAAAGAGTTCTGATTCTGTGGTATGCATATAGAGTAATCTGCCCTTTGATCTAGAATAAAATACTAGTAAATTGAAATTAATATACAGCTGTGTACTCCTTAATTTGTAATCAAATCATTCACAACATTTTAAGGATACATAAAAGAAGCAAAAATTTGATGCGTGGATTTAATATTTTATTAACATATCTTACCTGAACTCATAAAATGTAGTTATGCAAGACATGAATTGATCCAAAAAATATACAGAACAATCCGTATATCGGTTATTTTTCGTGTATGTCAACATCACAACTTGAATTTATCCGCCATGTTTACTGACCTTGATCGATTTTATTTTGGGACAACCAATGAGAAATCGGGATCTAGGGGAGCGGATCGTTTAGGATTTCCCTTATTTTAAGCATAAATATCACTGTTTATGAAAAAATTATCACATGGGATGCTTTTATTTATTGATGTTTAGTGATATCATACAACACAAACATTTATCAACGCCGACATTTACTTTATCAAGTGCTTCTAAAATTCAAGCGCAAGTCTCTGTACATCACGCGAGAACTGTCATGGCTGCTGAAGAGAACGACTGGTAAACACGCAGATTTATTTTACTTGGTTTTCGCTTATAAAGGGTTATGATGTTGATAGTGAATAAAAATTCCGTCTTGTTGGAAGTAAGTTGAATGCAAAAACAATTTATTTTGCCTGCAGTCTCCCGTATCTAAAAAATATATTTGCACCATTACGAAGATGCAGTTGAATTGTAGCCCTCTCCTGAAAATATCAGATTAAAAAAATCGGAGAGGGCTACATTATTGCAGCTAGGGACCAGAGAGAACACTCCCGGACAAAATTCGTCACTTTTCGCACGTTTCCATGGCAACGGTAGCCATTTTGAAACTGAAAGTCTGCACTGCACAAGTACAACTAGTGATCATCTTTTGTGGAAAGTTTCAGGAAGATTGTTCCAGCCATCTGCGAGAAAATTCCCGGACAAGGTTTTAAGGCGTACAATAGCAATATGTCGCCCGACTTCGTTCGGGGCGACATAAATAAATAATTATCTGTTTATTATACCTCATTATATGCACCAACGGTGTAAGGGGAAAAAAAGACTTTCGTTAAATTACTGTGTACCAAGTCTTGTTATATCAATTTCTTTGGAAATTGGTGGAAAATGCGTGCTGTTAAATTTTCATACATTTCATTGATTGGGGATCAATTTGTTGGTGTCTGAAAATCTAATTTCGGGGCTGGGGACATTGTCTTTAATATGTTAAGGTTAAAGTCTGAAAAATGCAATCATTTAGCTAAAATAAAGAAAACAACTTGATGCATATACTGTATAAGGCTGTCACAAAAGACGGCAGAAGATAAAACATTTTTTAAAGGCTAATATACTTGTCTTTTGAAAAACTCCAAGAACTGAGATTTTACTGTAGGTTATGACCACCACCAATCGCTATTTTTCACCATGCAGGGAATCAGGGACGAAACAAAAAAATATGAACGCAAAAGAGGGCAGCGGCTCGTATGCAAGTACATATCATTAGAAGAACCTTTTTTATATATCGAATTCAGCTGTGTCAATGTACATGTAAGTAAGCTTTGTAGATAACAAAGATAGGGATGTAAGGGGCTTCATAAATAATTTACAACCCCAGCTGAACTTTTTCAATAAATAGTGCTTAAGAAAAACAATAAATCTATGAAGTATGTATGGTATTTTATAAGTATTTGGTATATTAGGCGATCTTATTCTAGCGCTACTCACACTATATAACATATATTACTCTAATACATGTACACAGCTTATTTCTGTTTATTGCGTGTTCAAGTACAAAACTATGTGTGGAATATTTCTTAATGTCGCTATTGTGTAAGAGACACTGTAGAGTCTATAAATATATATGTACAATCTTACCTTTTTCCCCCTTTTTACCATATAGGAATTAGTCCTATCAACTTAATATATACGTATAATTATCAGTAAGTTAATGTATTCATTTTAGAGAGTTTAAGCAGTTCCTACTACACATGTATGCATGCTGCTACATGCATGAATGTTGATGTAGTATCGGTCATGAATACAAATGTATTTATCCTTCAGAGCGACAAACTGGGCATAATACTGACATTCAGGATCTAGCAATAAAATTATGTGTAAGAAATTCATGATTTTTTTTAAATTTTAATTATTCAATTAATTAATTTTAATTTTAAATTAGTCTATTTGGGGGACAGATTGCTTGTGTCGATACGAGAGTAGACAAACACTCATTGAGATCCGGAGGGACATCATATTTAGCGTTAATTAAGCCCATTTGTCTCTTATTTGAAAAATAAACAAGATTTTCAGGAAGTATTTCTTTCATACTCAATATAACTTAATTTGCAAATAAAGTTTATTGATAATTAGGTAATGACAAGGAAAAAAAAATTGTTTGCCGAAACAGTCGGGAACACTACGCAAAGAATCGGTATAAACTGATTGTACTGTATCATGTTCTGTTGTCAGGATTGTCTGTACTTAGGGGAGGCTTTACATCTGAACCATCTGATCACTTCCTGTCGAAATGCCTTATTGAGGAAACTGTAGATAACCGGGTTAATGGCGTCATTTATGAAGTAGGATTTCAAACAAAACTTGTAGAACACTTCTGCTGGAGGTGATAGAGTCTTTTCGAAATTTTTCTTGATGTTTCTTGTTACCATGACAACGAGAAAAGGTAGATAACTAACAATAAAAGCTACTGTGATTGCTATACATATCACGGTAGTTCGCGAGGTTTTAATTGTGTTCACCATAGTTGTTTCCTTGGTTGCACCAGATGTTGATGACGCATGCGCATTTGTTTCTTGACTGTCTTCCGTTGTTGTCGTTATTTCGGCATTGATTTCGTATCTGTTGGAATTTCTCCTGATCTGTTCTTGCTTACCTCTTCTGATAAAAATAGAAATCCTTACATAAATGAAAGTTACTATTACAACACAAATTAAGAAATAAAGGAAAACAAGACCGTAATAAAGAAGTGGATATACGGTATGTCGTTGCGAATCATCCGTCGAGCAGTCCGTCCCCTTAATTCCTGGTACCCCAACATCCACAGACTTCTTACCAAAAACAACTGCTGCGGGCCAACAGGTTAAAACACCTATAATCACTGCGCCAGCGCATATCCTTTTCGCAGTTTTATTAGAGAAGCGCTCTCCGAGTCTGCATATCCGTTTGTATCTATCCACAGCGATGCCAATTAAAGTCAGGGTAGAGCCCATGCTGGTGAGAGATTCCACGGTTCGGAAGAGTTTGCAGGCGGCAGGGGCATTAAATGTGTATGGGAACCTTAAATCTGCAATTTCTACGGGAATTCCAAAGAAGCAAGTCAGCAAGTCGAGAAATGCCAAATTTAAAATGAAAAAGTCAGTAGAACATTTGAATTTCTTCTTAATGTAAACAACGCATACCATCAGATTCCCTGTAATTCCGATCAGCATCAGTAATGCCATGTACACGATGACAGGTATATACAACACAGCCTTTTCATCGTTAAGTTTCTGTAAAAGTATACTGGCATCAATATCAGAAATATTCCCAGACTGAGTAACGTAAATTGTGGTATATCGAGAGTCTGTCATTCTTCCCTCTATTTCGGAGGACTTTTCACGTGAATATACTTCTTTTTTTTTAAATCAAATGTTCTGTTACTCATTGACGTGCGCACTTTATCATGCATCCTTGCATAGCAACAGAAACATTTCTTTAATCAATCGAAATGTTCCGGACCTTCAGATAGGCGGGGAAAAAACCTCGAATGTATAACAAAGTCTCAAATCGGTGTCTATGGATAGTTATCAGTACACTTCTTTTTAATATTCCTGCTATTATCGCAGAGATACACATTTACGTTTCTTTTAAACATTCCTTCAGATAAGCTTAAGCGCAATGTCTGGACACTCTCGGACTTTCTAACAAGAGGAAGTATCATGCAATGTCAATGGCCGATGATCCCCTTTCTCGTACTATAGTATATAGAGCTTATGAAAAAAGTTCAGAGTCAATATTTGAGTAGTTATCTAAAAGATATAACAAGTATAGGGGAGGGGAATTCCCCCCGCACCTTTTGAAAACAAAACTTTTTTTTTAATTTCTGAAAATGTTCATTGAAAGGCTGGTTGCCCCGCCTCCCCTATGTTTATTGTAGGAGCATAGTTAAATCATAATTTGGTAATGCATTAATACAATTTGGTTATGAAAGAAAGTTGGAACTCCCCCCCCCCCCCCCCGTCAATTTTATTTTATGCATCTCCTTTCAAGTGAATGTTTTCTAATGTACCTTTTTTTTTATCTCTCCTTCCATTTGAATGCAAGGGGGTACATGGAATGAATGCATGTGTACGTAGTTATGTTTTTCATATATAGTGACTCCATCTGTAGAAACCCCAAACAACGTTTTTTTTCTTTATATTCATTTTAATCATTTTCCACGCGACTAAATTACAGTGTGATAATTTCCATCGACCTTTTTCATTTAAAGTCGAACTCTTATGAACTTACATAAAACATATTTTTTTTCCCTCATTTAGTTTGGATAGACTACATTTAGTGTATCCTTTACAGCTGTATGTCTTGTATATATCTGTAACAGGTCGTGGTACACAGCGGAATTTCCACTTATTAATTACAAGTATTTAGATTGATATTCTTTTCATTACATTTATACTGTGCATGTATATACTTATGACATGAAAAGGGAAGATTACTTAGATTTATAATAAAAATATTTTTTGGATACCATATACAAGTTCTATTATTTTGTGTGTATGTGCGGGGGTGGGGGTGGGGGGGGGGGGGTGGGGTTAGCAATTTACTTTAATCTGCTTTCAGGAGTCTATGCACAGGAGATCAGAGAGACTGCATGGAAATTTTATTTTAAATTGCATTTGACATTAAAAAGAAAACAAAACATGTTTTTAAATATATTTTTTGTTTCTCTCTCTCTCTCTCTCTCTCTCTCTCTCTCTCTCTCTCTCTCTCTCGATAAATGGGCTAGCATATACATTTACAGGATATGAATAAACTTAAGATTTCTACGGATCCTTGTCGATGCCTTTAAGTTTAGTATGGAATTACTGTGTGTCTGCTCTCATGATGGAGAGATTAAAACAAATCAATGGAAAAAGGAATGTATGAATTTGAATGACCACAGAAGCCTTAACTGATTTCATTTGTGTGGTATTCTAGAGCTAGGCATAAAGTTGAATGATTAAACATGTAGGTACGCGGTGCTCAGCTTGACATTCACTTATTTCCTGCACAATTTGGTTGCATTAAAAATAGAGGTGTGGAACAAAATATAAAAATAATTTTGGTGTTATTTCCCGTTCTCTAAATTGCTGTCTGAAGATATGATCAACAAAATATTTTCAATGAAAAATATGCAGGTACTTTACAATCAAGGAAGTCCATTCAGGAACATAAATTTAAAAAAAAAAAAACAAAAAAACAAAAAAAAAAACAAAAAACAAAAAAAAAAAAAAAACTTTTTCCGTCATATTACATGTACAATGTATATCTTGTGCTTTAATCTCAACAAACTAAGAATGAGTCAGCCGTATAAGGTACCTTTTATTAGTATTATTAAATTTCCTTTTACATGCACAAAGGTTTCCACTAAACAAATTACATTAACTTTAATTATTTACTTCCACTGTAAGTATAATGGTATATGAAGAACATGTATTATAAATTTTCAATTTTGACAAATTGTCGAAAGTTGGTGAGATGTGAAATAAATTTAGAATATATAATTTTATAAAGAGGGCAGATTTTCATAAATCTTAATCATAAAATAACAAAGGCCCCCTCCCCCATCAGTGTTTTCAACTTTAAAGTTGATTTTATAGAAACAATACATTATTACATGTATCAGTGAGTTCCATTTTGGAATAGTGTCGGGTACAAAAAATATTTTGTAACCGACATTATTCGAAAATGGAACTCACTGAAATTAGAAGTCAGAGAAGCAACTTCTAAAAAATATCACTCATATAAATACTAAACCCCCGAAATATTTTGGTTTGCTAAACGTACTTTCAATATTATTCACAACTGTTTGCTAAATTATGATCTCTACAGACGAAATATTATTGATTCTACTAAATGTATTTGTGGTCAGAATGAGGATGTTTACCACTTTTTCTTTGTTTGTAAAAGATATAAGAGCAAGAAATAATCTTTTTGACAAACTTTTTAGAGTGGAAGAAACGATTCTAATAGACACACATCTGTTGTTATGGGGGTACTGATACTTTGTCTTATGATATGAACTGATTTATTTTTTCAAGAATTCACAAATTCATTAAATAAATGAATCTGGAAGATTTAATTAACATTTCAATTTATTTATGTCACTTGCCAATATTATTTACTATGATATTATAATGACAATTGTAATATCTGTATTATAACTTTACTAACACCAGGAGAAGAACTAGTAAGGCCATCTTTAAATAATGTTTGCTTGCCCTCTCCCGACTCAGTGTAAAATTATTGGGTCGGTAAGTAGGTGGGAAAATCTTTTTTCCAGAAAATTTCAACATATTTGTTGACGGAATAAGAGAAATAAAAAGAAAAAAATACATCGTTCCCTGGAATGCTAAAAAAGAGTTTTGAGTCGGGCCATTTTTAGTCAGTTGGTCGGGATAGGGCAGGCAACCAAACAATTTTTTAAAGATGGCCCAAGTTATAAGAACTTGTTTCCAATCCTTTTGTGTTAAACAATAAAATATGTTCAAATCAAAACCAATGCATTCTGGGCTAAATAGTTTTGAAAATCGCTATCGGACTCTCAAGATTTTTTTTTTTTACTTAAAACGTATGGTTTCCTTATCTTAAAGAAAAGGAAAATAAAAAACAACTTACTTACATCCCTTTTCATGGTAAACAAAGAGCATACGCATACATTTTATAGATACATGTAGCATGTGTTTCCTTCTCAAAATCTAAGATTCTCTTTTATTTCGTTGTCATTCTACATTCCTGTTCTCTATGTAAAGTGCTTATAAAAAAAAAAAAAAAACAATTGAAAGCGGGAATACATTCACCTTTAGCAGTATACTATATTTGATTTACATTCGCTCAAACTCTTATTTTTCTATTCTTTCCATTTATTACCAAGGAACCAATAAAGAAAAAGAATGACGTGTAGATTTATAACCCTCATAAAAAAGGCAAAAAATTTATATGCTCGCCGTTTTAATTGCACATACGCATGTGTAGTCACATGGAAAATGTATACAATTATCCAAAAAAACCAACAAAACAAACAAACAAAAACAACATGAAAACAAGTTAAGTTTTCCCCTTATACATGTAACCTGATAACGACTGCATTTTCTTGGAAAACTTAATAGCTTATGAATATTGTCTAGAAGAATAATATGACCGCCTGTCCTTTCAGAAATGTCCTTTCAGAATTTGCCGGATGCCGTGTATGGGATCTATAGAATATACTGTACATTTAGCGTGTAAGGTATTTTGCGCGGAAACTGATTTTCAACCAGTTAGTGTAGATTCGATTTAGCGTATTTCTGAATATAAAATATTCAGGTAAAATTATATATATATAAGACATTTAGTGATGTACTTGATTGAGCGGAAGCTGCTTTACGCCAACGCCGCTAAATAGAATTCATGCAATACTGAGAATGACGGGCTTGTTTGGAACACATTTTAATGACATAAATCACTAATTAAATGCATAATAAAAACCCCTGGATGCATTCAACACATTAAAAATACATTAAAAAAAAACAAGAATCTAAAATACAAGGAATGTAGTCCGCTGTGTGATGCGCGCGCAAATTGTATTTATCCACATCAACTGTGTTGGGCCGCTGCAAATCTGAAGAATCTTCGCAAAAGGCGACTTGTTTTGTTTTCTACATGTATTTCTATGTAAAATAATGGCTACTAGGAAAGGGGATATAAAAAAAAAAAACACATACACACACAGTTTCAAAAAATGTTGTATTCGTCCCTTTCATCGTGTACATAGTTCTTCTGTGCCAAGTTTTCAGTGTTTGTGAGGCCCTATCTAATAGGCTTGCACCTAAGCAATGCTTTCACGTCTTGTTTGAACTTTCGGCAGAGAAAGCTGTATATCAATGGGTTTATTGCGTTATTGATGAAGAAAGACTTTAAGCAGAATTTGTAGAAAACCTCTACGACAGGTGACATATTTCTCTCCAAGCCCTTTATGACATTTCGTAAAATCATGACTGCTAGAAAAGGGAGATAACTCACTATAAATGCGATGGTTATTGCAACAAAAATTGTCGTCGTCCTGGTAACTTTTACTGCAGATGTCTGCTTTGTGACTCTAGCATGCACATGTTCGTTTCCATTTATATCGTCTTCATTGCTCGGTGTTGAATGCACACTTTCCATATGGTTGATATTGACATTCATTAAGGGTATTTGATGCTGGCTGAGAGTGGTGTTGCTTATTTCACTTGGTCCAATAACTTTCCTTCTCTCAGTTTTAGCTCTCTTTATGAATATCGAAATCCTTACATACACAAATATAACGAAAACTACGCAGGCGATGAAGCAAAGCATTACTACACTGTAATAAATGAGGGGATATACCGTTTTCTTCATTTCATCCGAAGTTGAACAATCAGCTCCTTTGACTCCCGGAATTCCCAGGTTTATCGTTTTCTTTCCAACTATTACCGCCGCTGGCCATGATAACAAGGCACCAACTAAAAGTGCAAGGAGGCAAAGCCTTTTCACCGCTTTGTTGCTAAAATTATCCCCAAACTTACAAATCCGTTTGTATCTGTCTATAGAGATGATCACAAGGGTCAAGGCCGAGGCCATGCTGGTCCAAGACTCAATGGTTCTCAAGATCTTGCAAGCTGCTGGGGCATCGAACGTGTAAGAAAAACTGAGATCTGCTATTTCCATCGGAATTCCTATGGTACAGGTCAGGAGATCCAAAAAGGCAAGGTTGAGAATAAAGAAATCAGAGGTGGTCTTCTTTCTTCTTCGTGAATAAATGATACCCACGATCACATTGCCTGCTGTACCAATGACCATCAAAATAACGAGGAAAAGGATAACGGGTAAAAATCGTATCGCCGCCTCATCGTTTAACTCCTTTAGAATCAGGTACGGATCTTGGGAGGATGTACTTTTAAAAGATTCGTTATAACCAGGTGAACTGTTTATATTACGAGTCACACTTAAGGTATTCATTGTTGACAAGAGCATTTTAATCTTCGGACCAAAAAAAAAGAAGATGGTGTCTTGCATCCATCGAATGAACTTTCAATCACTCAGATAAGTGTAAATACTTCACAAACAACTGACTGCAGCTAGGGCTAATGTCAAGTGGAAAGAATTTTCACCGAAAAAAATCTATTATAAACCTTACAGGGAAGTATTATTTAGTGATAAATGTGATGCGATCTAAATTCAGGTCCATGTGACTTTTTTTATCATCATACATGTAGCACCATTTACTACAAAAGTATACAATATCCCTCATTTTTTAAATTTCTATATTTACTTCCGCTTGACTGACAAGGCATATGTCAGTAGTGTGCTTGCACATTTAAGTACATGTACATGTATATATAAGAGTAATGTTACTCGATCTGCCGATACCTAAGACTTCTTTGATTAAAAATATATTTATTATGACGAACTGTCTACCCCTTTTTTACTTTTCATATCTTTTCTGCTTATTTAAAAAAAATACAAGTATTTTGGCTTACATTTGCAATGACTGGGTAGATCACATGTATGATTTATATTGTTTAAAAAATTTTGATATTTAAAACACAATGGATGGTAAAAGATCTATGTACGTGTATACTCTTTGTACAAATACTACAAAAGTATGTAGAAGTAGTCAAAAGTCCGTATTGTTTTATTTCAGACTTCAGTTTCCGTTTTCCGTGAAAATGATTAGAACCTGTTCCGAGATATAGAAGATATTATTAATTCCAGTTAAGTGTGCCGTTTTGCATTACGTCACAACCTATGACGACAGCTGTGATCAAGGTATATAATACACGCCTCCTAACCGCAAACTTTATGACTGGTAGTTTCTTCTTATCCTTGATTGGTTGCTCGTGCAACAGACTATCTCCGTGTCAATGTTGATAAAATGAGTTGACCAATCAGACAGCGGCGTTGTGAATTGTTTACGCCGGGCGCATCTATCGAAAAAGATCGTGACGTAATGCGAAACGGCACACTTCACTGGAATTGATAATATCACAACAAGGATTGAACTGGTACGTGTATATGGAGCATGTTTGTTTTAGCTGAGATAAAATCTAAAGATGTTTCGGCATTACAGTATTTTTTGTTATTTTCTATTATATTTTCTGTTATACATATGTTAAATGTACCGTCTCTTAAATACCGACTCCTTTGAGATTTTGATCATACATACACATGTATAACAAATAGTATTCCTCATCGTTACTTTTGAACATATTGAACATTTGAACATACCGGTAATTTAATATTCCTTAAATAACTGACAAGTAAACTTTTGATAAAACAGGATGACTTAATTTTTCTATCGCCAACATCCCTTATGTTTATGTAGCAATACGTCTCCATTACCATGCACATGGTGTTTATGTATCCCAGTTGATTCAATACGCAAGAGCATGTTCTCCCTACGAACAATTTCAAAAACGAGGCAAGGTACTGACAAATATGTTGATTTTTACAAGGATATCAACACTTTCGTTTACAATTTACAATTTATGTAACCTGCAAATTTCATTTTGCTAACTGTTCTAAATTATTTGAGATCCAAGTACAGTTTTATAACTTCTCGACGGTTTGTCTGCGCCAGTTCCTTTTTTTAAAGATAGTTTTAACAGTAAGTTATGGATCTGCAGCTAATTTGCAAGAATGATGAACTTGTCCCATAATACTTGTTCCAGATTTATTAGCAAAGCATTGTTATGGCATAGATTTGTAAAATTCACCTATTTTTTTTTTAGCTATCATTAATATTGTATTTTAACTTGCAATGTTTCAAATAAATTACTTATGATAATCAAGAAAGCTGTGCCTATAACCTAACAGAGCTAAAAATTCCAAAAAATGATAGATAATTTTTAAAAAAACAGTGAAAAACTGGAGACGGTTACTTTTTGCTTTGATCACAGGTTTACATATGTGTTGTATCTTCAAGTTATATGAAGGAAAGATTGAATGAGGTTGAAATTGTAAAGCTCCAGTGGTTTCATTATTCTTATTGAGACTCAGAACTTCGCCATATTTAAACTGGAGAATGTTTTTGCTCCACCATATATATGCAGCAGTGCTAACGTGGAGTCTTGATTTGAAAATGTTTCTATTGCCTTCAAAAAATTTACAGGCAGCTCTTAAATGAAACAGGTCTGGATATCTCGGGTCTTTTTTTTTTTTTTAAAGAGCCTCTGTTGTAGATATAGTATGGAAAATTTCATTACAAAAGCCTATCCCACTCCCGATATTTGTTGTACATGTACAGTAGTATTAAAGACCCTCCCAGCATTGTAGTTTAAACTTTTTTGCAGAAAACAAGAGTGAGCCCCCCCCCCCCCCCGAAAAAATAACCAGCTTACAAAATTGATGCAACATGCATATGTGAGTGGTGGAAATATGTCTAGTGAAAAATTACAAGACAGGCTACATAAATTTTACATCACTTTTATCAACAGATATCCAAAATTAGTGTTTAAAGTAAGAAATATCAAACATGTTTCATTTGTTTCTATTGCAACAATAACCTAAATGATGTGCTCAGGATGTATACGTTTTTCTAAGTAACTTCAAAAATTTCTGACCACTACTTTGATGTACGTATACCTTTCATGCTATGACTCGAATTGAAGGAAACGGCTTTAAATTTAAAGACTAACATACCATGCTGTTCTCAAATAATAATATTTCTATACTTCAAGGTTCAATGTAAGATGTACGAGATCCAACAAAAAATTATCTGCGAAATGCAAATTTTAAACATATGATTTGTATTAAGCAAAAATTGTGGATATAGCATAAACTGTATGTTTACAAGCTTTGGCAAACACCAGGAGTTAAACTATCCCGGGGCAAATTCGGATTTAATTTAAGGGGCACGAAAAGACACTTGTCTGGAATCTATTAGATTCCATTTCCAGTGTTCCGGTAGGGACATTTCAATCTGTTTGATTTTAGGGTCATTTTGACGTAGAAAGACTTTTCCACAAAAGATATTTTAAACCCTAACAGGGAAGTATTACTCAGCGAGAAATTTGATCTCATCTACACGTCAGTCGATGTTACTTTTTTCTTTATCACTTGGGTCTATATACATGTAGTACTATTTACGTTTACAGTATACAATTCATAATTCAACTTTGATTTTACCTCCGTGTTACTTACAAACCACAACACAATGTACATGTACCTGCATGAATAAGTATGACATGTTACGCATGTTTTAATATCTCTTGCAAAACTTAAACTGCTTTAATTTTAAAAAAAATGTATCAACCCCTCTCCTTTTTTCCTTGTTTTTCTCTTATTTCTATTTCCTTAAAAAATCTCACATATGATATTAAACTTAAAAACATTCCTTATATTTACATTTTACAAGTTTAAAAGAACCAATATGCTCAATATTTGAATTTCTTGCTGCCCTATATCGTTACATTTTTATTTACGTCTCTGTAGCCTCATTTTGACGTCACTTTATCACGAGTTTCACCGTGTATATTTCTACGCGTGAGTATACACAAAAATGACTTTCAAATCTATTGCACAGTTGGCTTAGTAGGAAAAAACAGCAAATGTAAATATTCATCTTTGAACCTCATTTAGTATGTATAAACCAGTGTTTGATACATGTACATGTGTCGTTCCCTTGTTCCCAGCTCTTTTCCCATATGAACAGGAGTCATACCCCGCTCCAAACAGTAATGATCATGAGTGATAATTTGGTGTGCCGCATTATCGCCCGACGTAGCCGTTTTTGATAATATCTAACTAATAGTGTTTGGTCATATAACGTCATGTTTTGTTTTGTTATATATGATGTTGAAGTACTTTAGGTCGTACAGTTTCTATGGATGTAATTTTTGTCATATTAAATTTCCGTATAGCCTTGTAATAAAGAAAATATAAATGGCAATACTAATTTTGAAATTGCATGCGCCGACTACCGATATTTAACACCCTTTAATTAAATGCTGTTTCTAAATGCATATGACATTCCAACTTTATAGTATTTGGTAAAAATGACAAAAATATTATTTCCCAACATTGTGCCAAAAATGAATAATTTTGGTAAGGTAGTTTATGAAATATTTAAAAAGTTCGCGTTTTTTCTGGGACAACCCTCGTATATGTAAATATTCTAAAGCTCAAAATAGTTTTAAAATATTTTATTTCCGACCAAATTTTAATTTTTTAAGGCAGTCAAATAGGCGATAAAAAATAAGCTATATATTAATTATTTCATGTACAGTTGTTACGCACAAGTATAAAAGTCAACTTGCAACCCGATAATTTGTTTGATTTTTTGCTTCATTTCCTTATTTTGGGGGAAAAAACCACTTTTACGTACTAAGAGCACTAAGTAAGATTTTTCTTGGCGATACGGTCTTCCCTGTTATAATACTGTAATTATATGTACTTTGTTAATAAATGACCTTTTTTTTTTTAAATTCAAACTGTGTTTATCTTTTTGTTGTAAATCAAACAAAGCTAATAGTTTTGGGCGAGATGACAAAAAATTATATGTACTCTGTCATGCCGGTTTCTTTTAGGTTTTCCTGAAACATGTACTATATAAAACTTTAAGGATTTTGTAAACCTTTCTTTATACAAGCTGGAGATCTTGATCTGTAGTTCACCGTCCTGATATATTTAGTTTGACAAATATTATACATATTTTTACTGAATGCTACTTAGTCAATATAAACAATTAAAAATCCATCATTTTGCTGTTTCACATGTATATTAATCTTCAATGAAATTTGAAATGAGTAAGAATAGTTCTGTTTATTTTTCTTTGATTCCAGTAGTTTTAGGATTTGTTCATTTACATTTAATTACTCTGATTGCCTCTGTCCTAAAATTCCTGTTAAGGAAACTGTATATAATTGGATTAATTGCATTGTTAATAAAGTACGATTTCAAACAAAACTTATAAAACACCTCGGCAGCTGGCGATAAAATTTCCTCGAAGTTTTTCTTTATGTTTCTTGTAACCATGACGACAAGAAAGGGGAGATAACTCACAATAAATGCTACGGTAACAACAATAAAAATGGTGGTCGTTCTGGTGACCTTAATTGTATTAACCATTCTCCCTCCATTCCTTTTGTCCGTTGCAATGGTTTTTATTTCCCCTTGATGAGATGTCATTGAGTCACTTGATTGCTCCTCGCTGATTGGCTGAGGGCTTATAGAGGGTAAAGGTGACAACGCATGTTTGGTTTCTTTCTTTTGTTTTGATTTACCCTTTCGAATGAATAATGATATACGCACATAGACGAATGTTACAAAAATAACACAAACGATGAAATAAAGCATAACAATTCCATAATACAAAAGTGGATACATTGTCTTTCTCATTTCATCTGCAGTAGAACAGTCAACAGCAATGGCGCCTGGAATTCCCACGTCGACAGATTTCTTCCCAAACACAACTGCGGCGGGCCATCCTGTCATGGCGCCAATAATAACAGCTCCGATACACAGACGTTTGGCTTTCTCATTTGAAAATCGCTCTCCTAACTTGCATATACGTTTATACCGATCTACTGCTATAGCTATAAGAGTTAAAGTGGAACCCATGTTGGAAAAGGATTCTATCGTCCTCAGCAGTTTACAAGCCGCTGGTGCATAAAACATGTATGGATATCGCAGGTCAGCAATTTCCACTGGAATCCCAATAACACACGTAAGAAGATCCAAGAAGGCTAGATTAAGGATGAAATAATCCGAGGAATTTTTCATCCGTTTTCTTAAATACACAATACATACCATAGTGTTTCCGAATATCCCGATTATCATCAGCAGTGACATATAAATAATTACCGGAAGAAACCGTATTGCTGTTCTGTCGTTCAGTTCTTGGAGTAAGACATCCGGATCCGGATCCAAACTTGAAGAATTGTCAGAAGCGCCTGTTGAATTCATACTCGGGAAAATTTCTTATTTCATTAAATGCGAGTGCGTTTTTACTTATATTGTGTTGTTAAGTGTGACCTTAATTAGATCAGGAAGTAAAAAATAGGAAACCAATCCATGAAATTAAACAATATTTACTTCCTATTTGTGTAGTGTAGCAGGTAAACAGATGAATTCTCCGTGCATTAAACACGTTAAAAAGGGAAATACGCTATACTTTAACACAAGTTATATTATTTGGTTGACACTTCGAAATAATCAGGTTTTAAGATTTTACATAGTTGAAGGATATACATGAATTAAGTGTGGCTGCTTATAAAGACTAGACATGTTACTCATAAAAAACAAAATACTTCGTTTAAGTACTCGCAGAAATGACAATTTGCTTTTCTGCTTAGTATGGAGATACATGTACAAACAAGAGGCCCATGGGCCACATCGCTCACCTGAGCACATTGGGTAGGTGAAAGCACAAATCAGTTCAGTATTGAAAAGATTACTGGGGAGGGGGGGGAGGCTTGAATTTTAAACTACCTGATGATGCTTCCATGTCAATATAACAAATGGCTTTGTTGTACTTGAGAAGATTAAAAAAAAATTTCCAATATATTCCTTTGTAGAAATTTGATCCCCCATTGTGGCTCCTCCCTATCCCAGGGGTTACATTTGAACAAACTTGAATCTACACTACCTGAGGATGCTTCCATATCAATATGACTAAACATAGCTTTTCTGTTCTTGAGAAGACATATTTTTTCTATATGTTCTTATGTAAAACTTTCGATCCCCCAATGGGCCCCACCCAACCCCCGGGGGTCATCATTTGAACAAAATTGAATTTACACTTCCTAAGGTTGCTTCCATATCAAAATGACAAATCATGGCTTTGCAGTTCTTTTTCAGAAGATATTTTCCTGTATACTTCTATTTAAGACTTTGATCCTCCATTGTGGCCTCCCCTACCCCAGGGGGTCATGATTTGAACAAACTTGAATCTACACTACCTGAGGATGCTTCCAAATAAATATGATCAATCATGGCTTTACTTTTCCTGAGAAGAAGATTTTAAAAAAATTTTCCTCTTTATTTCTATGTAAAACTTTGATCCTCAATTGTGGCCCCCCTACCCCCCCCCCGGGGGGGGGGGGTCATGATTTGAATGAATTTGAATCTACTCTCCCTGAGGATGCTTCCATATAAATATGACCAATCAGGGCTTTGCTGTTCCTGAGAAGAAGATTTTTAAAGAATTTTCCTATATATTTCTAAGTAAAACTTTGATCCTCCATTGTGGCCCCACCCTACCCCCGGGGGTCATGATTTGAATAAACTTGAATTTACACTACCTGAGGATGCTTCCATATAAACATGACTCATCGTGGCTTTGCTGTTCTTGAGAAAAAGGATTTTTTAAGATTTTTCCTATATATTTCTATGTAAAACTTTGATCCTCCATTCTGGCCCCGCTCTACCCCCGGGGGTCATGATTTGAAACTTGAATCTACACTACCTGAGGATGCTTCCATATAAACATGACTCAACATCTCTTTGCTGTTATTGAGAAGAAGATTTTTAAAGATTTTTCCTTTATATTTCTATGTTAAACTTTGATCCTCCATTGTGGCCCCGCCCTACCCCCGGGGGTCATGATTTGAACAAACTTGAATCTACACTACCTGAGGATGCTTCCATATAAAAATGATTCATCATTGCTTTGCTGTTCTTGAGAAGAAGATTTTTAAAGGTTTTTCCTATATATTTCTATGTAAAACTTTGATCCTCCATTGTGACCCCGCCCTACCCCCAGGGGTCATGATTTGAACAAACTTGAATTTACACCACCTGAGTATGCTTCCATATAAATATGACTCATCATGGCTTTGCTGTTCTTTAGAAGAAGATTTTTAAAGAGTTTTCTTATATATTTCTATGTAAAACTTTGATCCCCCATTGTGGCCCCACCCTACCCCCGGGGGTCATGATTTGAACAAACTTGAATCTACACTACCTGAGGATGCTTCCATATAAATATGACTCATCATGGCTTTGCTGTTCTTGAGAAGAAGATTTTTAAAGGTTTTTCCTATATATTTCTATGTAAAACTTTGATCCCTCATTGTGGCCCCACCCTACCCCCGGGGGTCATGATTTGAACAAACTTGAATCTACACTACCTGAGGTTGCTTCCATATAAATATGACCAATCAGGGCTTTGCTGTTCCTGAGAAGAAGATTTTTAAAGAATTTTCCTATATATTTCTAGGTAAAACTTTGATCCTCCATTGTGGCCCCACCCTACCCCCGGGGGTCATGATTTGTACAAACTTGAATTTACACTACCTGAGGATGCTTCCATATAAACATGACTCATCGTGGCTTTGCTGTTCTTGAGAAGAAGATTTTTAAAGATTTTTCCTATATATTTCTATGTAAAACTTTGATCCTCCATTCTGGCCCCGCTCTACCCCCAGGGGTCATGATTTGAAACTTGAATCTACACTACCTGAGGATGCTTCCATATAAACATGACTCATCATGGCTTTGCTGTTCTTGAGAAGAAGATTTTTAAAGATTTTTCCTATATATTTCTATGTAAAACTTTGATCCTCCATTCTGGCCCCGCCCTACCCCCGGGGGTCATGATTTGAACAAACTTGAATCTACACTACCTGAGGATGCTTCCATATAAATATGACTTATCAGGGCTTTGCTGTTCTTGAGAAGAAGATTTTTAAAGGCTTTTCCTATATATTTCTATGTAAAACTTTGATCCTCCATTGTGACCCCGCCCTACCCCCAGGGGTCATGATTTGAACAAACTTGAATTTACACCACCTGAGGATGCTTCCATATAAATATGACTCATCATGGCTTTGCTGTTCTTTAGAAGAAGATTTTTAAAGAGTTTTCTTATATATTTCTATGTAAAACTTTGATCCCCCATTGTGGCCCCACCCTACCCCCGGGGGTCATGATTTGAACAAACTTGAATCTACACTACCTGAGGATGCTTCCATATAAATATGACTCATCATGGCTTTGCTGTTCTTGAGAAGAAGATTTTTAAAGGTTTTTCCTATATATTTCTATGTAAAACTTTGATCCTCCATTGTGGCCCCGCCCTACCCCCGGGGGTCATGATTTGAATAAACTTGAATCTACACTACCTGAGGATGCTTCCATATAAATATGACTCATCATGGCTTTGCTGTTCTTGAGAAGAAGATTTTTAAAGGTTTTTCCTATATATTTCTATGTAAAACTTTGATCCTCCATTGTGGCCCCGCCCTACCCCCAGGGGTCATGATTTGAACAAACTTGAATTTACACCACCTGAGGATGCTTCCATATAAATATGACTCATCATTGCTTTGCTGTTCTTAAGAAGAAGATTTTTAAAGAATTTTCCTATATATTTCTATGTAAAACTTTGATCCCCCATTGTGGCCCCACCCTACCCCCGGGGGTCATGATTTGAACAAACTTGAATCTACACTACCTGAGGATGCTTCCATATAAATATGACTCATCATGGCTTTGCTGTTCTTGAGAAGAAGATTTTTAAAGGTTTTTCCTGTATATTTCTATGTAAAACTTTGATCCTCCATTGTGGCCCCGCCCTACCCCCGGGGGTCATGATTTGAACAAACTTGAATCTACACTACCTGAGGATGCTTTCACATGAGTTTCATCTTTCCTGGCCCTGTGGTTCTTGAGAAGAAGATTTTTAAATTATACTATTAATTTTTCACTAATTCTTTATTATCCCCCCTTGAAAGAGGGCGTGGCCCTTCATTTGAACAAACTTGAATCCCCTTCACCCAAGGATACTTTGTGGCAAGTTTGGTTGAAATTGGCCCAGTGGTTCTTGAGAAGAAGTCAAAAATGTTAAAAGTTTACAGACAGACAGACGGACGGACAGACGGACGGACAGACAGACGGACGCCGGACAAAAAGTGATCAGAAAAGCTCACTTGAGCCTTCGGCTCAGGTGAGCTAAAAAAGTAAACGACCTAACATATAGGAGGTGATGTACCACCATTATTTCACTGAAAAGTGTATAAACTTAATGATTCCCATCGTTGCAAACCTCGACCAAAATGTACTATCCTCTCCCACAGAGCCATATATGCGGACTCAGGACCGTGCCTTGAGACGATGAATGATTCAATACAAAGTTATTAACATAAGCTTGGCCTCACATGGAGGGTGAGCTGCTCTCTCTCAATTACAGCACTTCATCACTGGAAACTCAAGCATTTCAACTAAGGGGCATCAGACGTAATATGATTCACGGGTATATCTCGAAAAGCAAACGTAGACCATGTGCATCGCCTTTTGCAGGTACTTGATAATTCAAGGGATAAAATTTATTTCCGATTCTTGTTTGTTTTTTTTTTTAATTAATTAATTTATTTTTTACGGGGGGTGTCTTGTAGCATTCATTGATAAATAGAAAATATAAAAGATCAACTTGATTTTCTTGATACATGTATACTGTGTATGCATATATTTATTCAGTATAAGAATTGTTTAAAGATATGTTTTGAACATATTTTATTGATTAAATCAAAAGGATTGGAAACAAGTTCTAAAATAACTTACTAGTTCCTCTCTTTCTATAATACAATATGTCATGCAAATTAAAGAAACATAATAATATAAATGATACAAATAAAATTTAACACATCAACTAAGAAAATCTACATGTTTCATCAATAAATTTATTATTAAGTTTAAAGATATAATTCCCTATAGTGCCTGAGTATGTCTGTTCTCATATACAATGTACGAATTATCCCGCTTTGTCTATTTTACGGGTAATGCGATATTTCGCGAATGGTTTTACACGATCTTTGGCTTGTAGTCGACACTTTGTTATAATTTTATTTGATTGTAAAATAAAATGAGCAAATATATTGTCAACTGAAAAGAATTCAAATAATATCACTGCTCCGATTACAGTTTTATCCATACTATCTTCTAAAACAATTGCACTTAGCAACAATAAATGTATGTCCATAGAGCTTACTCAGTGCAATTGTACTTGATAATTTACGTTTTCTAGACCTGTCCATAACAAGAGGTCTGCATATAAAATGAAATATTCTAATTACATAACAGGACTTCTACTACTGTGTTTTAAAAATCGATGCGAATGTAAAAGAATAATCCTATAGATCTGAATGCTGCCATAACTAGAACATTAAAGCAGGGATTGATTTTTAATAGCCGTTATCGGTAAGCGGCTTAAAGTCACGATAATCTTTTACTAATCCCTAAACTACAGAGAAACTTAATTATAAAAAAAATCTGTTTTAAACAGTTGTCAGTCTAATACATGTAGTATAAACAAAATTTGTGACTTGTACCAACGATATGAAAATGGAATGGAAAATATGAAAAACTTGGATTTACAAACAAAATGAGTTCAACGGTAATTATTTTAATTACTCTTATATCATTCTTGTAAAAATATTCGTTTTTATTTATCAGATATTCCGGTCCTGTGAGATTTACGCGTTCAATATCATTCTGTGTTTGATAAAAAGGTAACTGCATCGGAGATATTTAAATAAGCTAATGCACATGATACACATTCAAAATTTCGCTTTTAAGAGCACAAATTATCATTGTCGATTCATTTTCAAACTGAAGTTGAAAATGACTGCATGCTTGAAACTAAAATCAATGATTTTACGGTAATACTAGTATGACAGATCTTGAAAGAGAAATTTTTTAAAAAAGTTATGCATGTATTTAATTTTATTTATAAATTACAATTATTTACTGAATAAAATAATCAGGATTTCCGTTTCTCCATTTAAGTCACTTGATACTTTGATACCCCCCCCCCCTCCTCCTCCAATTGCGTTTATTTTGGAAAGATTCCGAGTTATGCATGTATTTAATTTTATTTATAAATTACAATTATTTACTGAATAAAATAATCAGGATTTCCGTTTCTCCATTTAAGTCACTTGATACTTTGATAACCCCCCCCCCCCTCCTCCAATTGTGTTTATTTTGGAAAGATTCCGAAATGTATGATAAGATGCTTTTTGTACTTATAATTTATTCTTTCGAAGATCCAGGATTTGCGGCGGGTGAGGGAGGGGGGATCCGTATTTAACCCGGGGGGGGGGGGGGTACTTTTTTATATAAATTTAATAGTTCTTAAAATCCCAGGAGTTCTGAACTCCCTGACCCCCTCCCTCTAGTACTGCACATGTAAAAAAAGGCAAAAAGGAAAACAGGTTCGATTTAATACTCTAAATCAATTACAAACTATTCAAGGAGAACAAAAGTTTTAATTTCGGATTATTTATTTAACAGTACTTAATCTTTTGCATAATAACTTGTCATACAAACGTCCTCGATTTTGTCTTTGACTCAAACAAATAGTCCCCATATCATTCTTTCAAAATAGAAAATAAAAATTTTCAAGCATCAGTTACATGTGCGAATTCAATGTAATAATTTGAGCCTTTCTTATACAACTATCAGAGTATGATTACTTTATTTATTATCATTAAATATTTTTGCATTGCAGAATTTAGAGCGATATCTGAAAAATCGTCCAAGGCGTTCTTCGCTGTCGCAGTTTGCCGCAAAAGATGCTGTCAAATTAATGCGCGAGGAGACCAGTAACAGCCTCCATCTTGGAAGGCGGACTTCCGTCTTTTCTTCGGAACCTCTCTGGGAACCTAAGGAGGCCTCTTCTGTTACTACAGAGAGACGTGCTTCTAAATCCAATCTGCTGGACAAGAGGTATAACAACAACAACCAAAAAAAGAAAAAGGATTAGCAAATTACAACATTGTTAATTTTTTTTATTGAAAAAAAAAATCTTTCTTTCAAACCTGATCAATCATCGGAAAGATCACAATGTCAGGCAATGATATTTGTGATCATTATACATAAATTTTATTCAATCCTGATAAACATGTTTCTATTTTTACATCGATAAAATAAAAACTTATTTAGTGATTTAATATGTTGACGGTGCGACCGTTGGGGCGAGCGCATTGTTCACTTCATTTTAAGATCCGCCTCTTCAAACCGCACGAGACATTTGGAACGTCTAAACTGTGACGTCACATGACGTCGTATGTTAGCTGCATTTCCATAAACAAAGTTTAAAAAGTGCAAATATTTTAACAAAGAACGTTTAATCTATCTGCATGCAATAGCCATTAAATTAAGGTGAGTTTATTTTTTGTGAAATTTTAGTTGTTGTCACCGCGTGAACGAAGTTAGCAGCGAGAACAAGAAGCGATGCATTGTGGGTCAGAATTACTGCGGAAAAAAATTCTATTGAATGAATGTGCAGTAGTCCGAATTTTCTCTTCGCCCAGGCGTTGTCGTTAGAGCTCGCAGTGACGAGCGGCGCTTTGCGCCGCTCGCTGCGCTCGCTATTACTTCATATTTGAAAAATTGGGCATGATTTTATCTCATTTCATTAAGATAATTTTATCAATGAAGGGCAAACATCAACAGAAATACTAAATCAAATATTTTAAAAGACAGAGAAAATTAATAAATTTAAAGCTTGAATTCAATGTACTGATAATAAAAACGTTGTATTTTTATTAACACGAATCTATGATGTTTGAATTGTGAAATGTATTTATTTATTTATTTATTTTATTTTATTTTATTATTATTTTATTATTATTGTTTATTTATTTTTAAAAAATTTTTTAATTTTATTTTTATTTTATTTTATTTTATTTATTTATTTATTTATTTATTTATTTTTTTTTGCCTATCAAGATACGATTTTGCATTTTTTAATCGTATTCGGTGATTCGATGCATTTTGTCTTCATTCTAGTACATTGTACTCCGTCAAAAGAGAAAACATTGCAAGCCGAGAGATGGAATTCCGAAATAAACCTATTGTCAGACATTCTGATGATCCGAATTTCAACATCGAGCAGAAAAAAGAGAGGGACTACATAATGAACTCTCGCCTCGGGGACAACAGCCTTGGGAAATTCTCTAGAGCGATTATCCAGCATTTCTTTAAGGCCCCTGCCCCCAAATCTCATCCCGGGTACGGAATGCCGCGACCCGACACGAGGGAGTCAAATCCGTTCAGAATGTTGATGCAAGATCTTCAAAGGGATCCCAGTATGCTTCAAATAAGTGCATTTCCGTCTCTTACAAATCCCGTGAAGTGCGAGAGCGGAAATGAGTTTTGCGAGATATTGGGATCGAGTGCCTGTTCTAGTTGTATTGAGAAAACAAATCGTTATATAGGCGATGAATTACAGAGAATCATGTTTCCTAAGTTAGACTTAACTCGCCAGAGACTTGTTCAACCGAAGTTAGCGCGTGTCATGAAGGAAGGTCATATGATGCAGGTCCGAAAACGTAGACTGAGGGAGTTACATTTTCCGGATCACATATCCATGCTTAAACGAAAAGAAACGCACATTACAGACAAAAGTGCTCATTTTAAGAAAAGTGCTAAAAAGAAGAGAAAAATGAAAACACTAAGTTCTTTCGTCCGATCCACTCCAATGACCCCCGGAATCGCACTGGCCACGGTTAAGGAGGAATCCATCGCCAGTGTTTGATGTGTGTGCTGATTGGTATATTTACAGAATAGAAAACTTTGAGAACAACTCATGTACATAAATTACGAAAAATTTATACTGAATATTAATCTTGTATTCAAGCGATTTTTTTTTATCTGGAGTCGTTCAATAATAATAAATGAATTCATATTTGTTATTTATCCCACCGATGGTGGAAAGTACGGAAGCCAGTAGGTCACAGGTAGAAAAAATATTTTATATCTGGCGGCCGCCGGATAAGTAACAGGGGCCGCCAGATAAAAAGATCTGGCGGCCGCCAGGAGGTTAACTTGCGGTCGCCAGAAAATTATTTGGTGGCCGCCAGATAAATTTCCGGCGGTTGCCAGTTATTTATGTGGCGGCCGCCAGTTAATTATTTGGCGGCCGCCAGATAAAATATTTTTCTACCTGGCACCAACCGGCTTCCGTAGGTAAGATACCAACATTCTTAAAATACTTTCTTTGGCATTTGATTTCATCCAAAATATTCAGATTTATGAAGTAAAAAGGCCTGGCTCGTGTGGTCAATGCAAAATCTTTTACTGTTAAGTGCACGAAAGTCTTAAATTGTTAAATGCAGTAGAATCTTTAACTGTTAAATATGACAATTTTGATAATTTATATATGATTTTAACGAGAGTTTTATTGGTCTCCTAACCAAAAAGTTGATCTTAATGGGTTTTTTACACAAAAAGAAATGAACATACCAGACACCATTCTCTAAAATGACCGTAAAAGGGACTTCTGTTCCTAGAGATGACATCAAACTTGATAATGTGATAAAACTTGAATCACTATCCTCAAACAAAAATCTCAGTAAAATTCATCCCGAATGGGAAAAAAGTATACTATTAAAGGAGTATAGACACGGATTTGAAGTTTAAATTTTCTCAAATTTTCTGTATAATATCATGACTTATATGTTGCTAAACCATTTCAGAGGGAAATATAATAAAAAACTTATTTTATCTGGAAAATATTGAAACTTAATAAAATAAGTTTTTTATTACATTTCCGTGTGAAATGTTATAGCAACATATAAGTCATGACATTATACAGAAAATATGTTATAGTTACACTATAGATATTAATTGGTTAGCTGTAAATACACTCACAGTTTTTCATTCACGAGGGGCGGAGCCCCGAGTGAATAAAAACTGTGAGTGTATTTACAGCTAACCAATTAATATCTATTGTGTAAGTTACTTGTACCAGAGGACCAATGAGAGAAAAGCGAGTTGATAATTAGCACCGCCTACCACGAGGTGTCAAGTCTGTATAAATAGCTGTCTCCATCTGCAAGGATCATACTTAATTGCGGCACTGCTACTGCCAGTTGATAAAAAATTCGGAATTGGTACGTGTGAAGATATTGTACCTTTGAAATGTTGAAGACGCAGAAAACATGATTTTTGTCAGGTACAGGTATAGGGGTAGCGATTGTAGGCTTTTATATTCAAGCTGTTAACTCTGAAAGAAAATTTATCTTTCTAGATCGTTTTTTTTTTTTTTGTGAAAAAGGGGGGATGGGTATGGGAAACATCTCCATTGAACTTTTTCTTTATGGCAATCGGCGTAGAAAAAAATGAAGTAATTTGTGACATTTTAATGAAAGTTTTAAATGGTATTGGAAGTAAAAAAAAAACGCGGGGACTTCTGCCGTGAAATTGCTATTATGTATTTGGAGACGGGAAAGAGAATGACGAGAATTCGAGTTAGGACGTATCATTTACTGATTAAGGATACTCGGAAAAAAACATACAGAACCATTTATGAAACGAACATCGACAAGCTAATGTTAGTATTTTTGAAATTAAAAATGTTGACTTACTAATTCATTCATCAGCCATTGCCAAGGTCTTGAAATTGACATCATTCATTCATCAGTTAAGGTCTTGACACAGTATGGCTTGATGCCAAAAGGTGGGCGTGACTTAAAAAAACTGTGATTCTTCTGGCAAATACACCACAGCAACATCAAAGCGAAATCTATATTTACCGCCAGTCCTATGGTACAAGAGAAAATGTTAACTTTAATTCTGCGTCTATGCCCTTTTAACAAATGTTTTGTTTGTTTGTGTGTATGTTGTTTAACGTCCCTCTCGAGAATTTTTCACTCATATGGAGACGCCACCACTTGTCGGTGGAGAGCTGCAAATTTTGTCCCATACTCGGCACTTATGGCCATTGAGCAGTGAGGGATCTTTTTCGTGCCAGCGCCTAATGCGACACGGGACCTCGGTTTATACGGTCTCTTCCGAAGGACCGGTCTCCGCGTTCCACAGTGGGATTCGAACCCGCGACGTAAGGATAACTCCTTACTCCGCGACTCTAGAGCAGACGCTCTAACCACTGCGCCACGCGGGCGACCTTAAACAAATGTGAAACAGTTTTTATGGCATCGAGCTCTTGAGCTCGAATGCTATGCATATGTAGTGGGGGACCAAACTTTACGCGACCGAATGTGTCCGTCCATGCATCCGCAAAAGAAAATAGCAATAACAATGCATCGCTTTCTTTGAAAATATTCACAGTGAATTAGCTTGAAAATAAAATTGCATCAATTATATCTACAAATAATTTGTCACATAACAAACATGCCCTGTTTTGATTTTTATTTTCACACAAGAAAAACGTGACAGTTCTTGCGGATGAATTTCTAAAGAAAGGCAATGTTGAATGACCTGAATAAAATTTATGAAGGAGAACCATGTAAACACAAACAACTTATATTAATAGGCGGAAAATAACCACAATATTAAATTAACACGAATGATAGAAGACTAATAGGATTGAATTTCCAAATATAAACCTTACTTTTACAATCTTATAACCAATTTTATCATAAAAACTGAATTTATTACTGTATTTCACCATTTCTTCCATATCGCATTTTACCGTATAGGCCTACCACGCCCGATCATATCTCGATCGTAGTCGCAACAGAGCGAGTTACGATTGTTGTTTAGATGCACTTAAACAATGCTTAGACATTGACAATTAGAAAAATATCAAATAAATTCATTAAATCCTTGATATTTCTTTAATTGACTGAAAAAAGATGAATTTGATATCCAGCATGAACATGTTCGACGGTGTCTAGTCAATTCGAACCCTGCTTTATTCGGACCATGTCATAATGTCCCAGACTGTAATTTTGACATTTTGTTTAAAACATAACATTTTTATTAGTCAATTATTTTACCTACTGCTATCTTAAAAAAAAGTTTTGAAATTGTTTTTCGCGTTCGATGCCATTGAAGCCTTTCAGGCTTTTGATTTCTCTTTAAAATGAAGATTAAACATGCAATTCGATACTACTGACAAACAAGTTAATTCAACAAGGATATCAACAGTCTCGTCTGAAGTCATCAATTCCCAAGTTTTATGATCGATAAAATGAACTTGTCAGCAAATACGACGTATCATTAGGTCAAATGCTGACTAAATTTTTTCATACTAATTGTTAGACCATTATTTACACATTGTATTTTCTACGGATTTTTCCCGATCATGACAAGGAGCACACGGCGGGTGTGAATGGTCCGCAGTGGATGCTCACTCCTCCATGACACCTGATCACAACTCTGCTGTTTTTTGGAGGTGAGGTCCGTGATGCTTTGCTCCCGATTTGCATAGTTTAAATGGACTTTGAGTTGGAATACTGTTCGTTATCTCTATATTTCTGCAACAATACGAAATATTTCTGTCCTATGATATACATGTATAGTTTTGAATCCAGCGATCTTTTTGGACTGCAGAAATTCTTGGAATACTTGTTCGACGATGATCAGATATGCAATTTGTTGCCAAGAATCTTTGTATGCACTATAATTGGATAAAGGCGATTATTTTGCCAAAGAATGAATACCAAAAATGAATTCATTTGCAATGTTCCTTGGTTAGAATAATTTTACCTCTGTAAAATATACGCATGGTCATGTGCTAAGTTTTGATTTAATTGATGTTTTCACCATGACTAGTCTTTCTAAAACCCGATCCCCTATTATTAAGGTTTTAGTCAGATTGAAACTTGGCCTAATACTATACAGTTAAAGTATATTACTGAGGGAGTTAGCAAGATTCCAGTTCCGCAAGGCAAGGACTATTTCCCGAGGCGAAGCCGAGGGAAATAGGCTTGCTCCAGGGGAACTGAAATCTTGCTAACTCCCGCAATGATATACTTTTAACTGTTTTATTATGCCGATACAAACGTACACTTTAGAGGATTCAGATAGCGTGATTTCAAAGCAGGGATTAGCTCACTGAACTAACGCACGGGGATAAGTCCACTCACATATCATACCAATGTAAAAGTAAAATCTAAAGGATTGCGGATAACCGGGAATTAGCTTCTGAATCAGGGACTAGCTCACTTGACTAACACATGGATTTAGTCCATTCATAATGATTCCTAAGGGAATTAGTCACATCTAACGATCTAATGTTATATAGGGAAAAAAATCAGTAGAGGTATAATCATTTCATTTAACTAACATGCAGTATACTGGGAAAAAAAATTACACTCAGTATTTTTCTTCAATTATTTTAAATTATAATTTAATTTTTTCAACAAATTGCGTTGTCCTCTGTCTTTTTCTGCAATCAATGACTTTCCTCGTAATTTTTATGCACAGGCAAGATTAGTCACCCCTGTGGATATACAGAAATCTCGTTTTCCGCTTTTGTTAAGTTTATATATAGTCCCAAAATGTTCGTAAGCTACATATAAATTTTACTCGCTTGGTAATCATCGTAAATTTAACAAAAAAGTTTACATAGTTTTCGATTTATAAACAGTCTTAAAATAACAATATTGAGTGTACGGTCGTTGACACAGTTTGTCAGATAAAAAAAAAACATTTAAAAATTAAATGGGAGAACCGTTGATTACGTTATTAAAAAAGTTTCTCTTTAAATCAATGTTAATTGATACAAGTATAGAAACATTTTTTCAACATTATTCTTTCTAAAATTATTTCTTAAAAGGATAATCATATGTGTACAGTTGTAAAAA